CCAACCTTCCGATTTGATTAGAAAGTAGTTTGGAGCGAAGTAATAATAAGCTTAAGGTCCCCTAGGAATACGACATAGCCACATTACTACATCCATAGCTTAGTTATACTTGGCTTTATTAGGAGTGACTAGAGTGTGCTTCGACTTACAAATTGAAAGATCGATCAAACGCATCAGAGGGAAGCTAGACTATAGACCGTCTCCTCTACTATGGTTATCCCTTGCGATCAAGAATAGGGAAGGAGATTGGGAATGATAAATGAAAGAATGAAGTCATCAAGGAGAAGCCGAAGGAAGAAGCTGCCCATAATGCGCCATTGACGACCCATAGTTTGTCGTTGATGCCTAAAACTCTTCAGTCTTTGTCTGTATATTGCCACCCTCGACTTGTATTGGAAAACTCTGCCTCAGAGTCACAGCTTTAGATGATTCAATAGTCGAGGGAGCATAAAGTGAGCTACGTTGTAGCGTTGAAGAAGAATTGAAAGTCATCGTCTGATCGCCGGTGTTAACCACATGGAAAGTGAAGATCTGGAGGGATGCATTGGAGGGGGCGACTGGAGGGTTAGAGAAGCGGAGGTCTGGGTGCTCTAGACGAAGGAACAAAGGAGGGGAGAGGATCAACATAGAGAATTTTTTTCTATTTTCTTTATGTTTTGTTAATTTTAATTAAAATTTATGACATGTCAATAACATGACATCTATGTGACTGTCACTGTTTGCCACATCAACGAAAGTCAACATCAATTTGACCACCATTTGGTTAACCGTTATCTATAAAGGTCAGCGAGAGCGTTAAGGTACAAAGTCACAAAGAGGACATACGTGACATTTTTGGGATAATTTAGGTGATGTAGTGGTATTAACACAAAATAACAACATAGCGTAATGAATAGCTATTGAAAAATAAAGTAATTATAATTAATGTTATATTTACTTATTGGTATAAGAAGACATAAGTAATTAACTAACTATACTGCTGATGGTTGTCACGTTGGTGGATTGCTGGTAATGAAACCGACATGAACACCACCAGTATGATCGATTTACAACCTCTAAGCAAAATGACGTCGTTTCAGTGAATCTAATTAATAAAAATTAATTTATTATTTAGTTTATGAATTTCAAATTTAAAGGTTGATATTATTTGTTGGATTCAAGTACAAATGATTAGATATTGACTTTAAATGTTGTATTTAAATATGAGTATTTATTATTTAATTTGAAATATCGTATCTTATTTAAATATAAATTCAATTATAAGTTCATATATATTTTGGTAAACCATTACAAACCGTACACCTCATCGAACAATTACACTTTGCTAAATCGGAGCAAAGATATAAACTTGTTTGACAACATTGATACAACTACTTATTATTAATATTGTAGCGGCCGTTATTATCTGGACCGACAGTGTAGCAATATCCCTTGCACACCCATCGATCGCAGCCACGTGGACTCCTACCTCCCATCAACGTACACTTCCAATCAAGGTTGTCAACCCACGGGTCGACCCAGATTAACCCGGACCCGTTGCTAAAAACGGGCTACAGCGGCCTAGTGAACAATCAGCCCGGATTCAGTCAAACGCGGACAAACCCGGCGAACCCGGGCGGTTTGACCGAGGGAGAGGGTTAGCGGGCCTCCTTCCTGTGTGGCGCCGTTTCAATTTTGGAGTATCCTCCCCAGCATAGACCGCCGCCCCAGGTCGCCGGAGTCTTCCTCCCAGCAATCGGCGACCGCGCTAGCCGCAAACGGCCTCCCTTCCTTTGCTCGCCGATCTTCGCAAGAAAGCTAGTCAAGTTGTCACCGAATCTTTGCAAGTCACGTAGTCGCCGGATCTCTAAGTTTTCGCCAACGATCCATCTGGACCTGTGTGATAATCGTGGAGAACATAGGGAGGTTTGGTTAGAATTTGTGGAGAGGCTCGTGACGATGAAAGAAGCTGGGTTGGGGCGGTGTTTTTCTCTGTTCTGAGAAGAGGAAGAAGAAAAGGAAAGAGAGGGGAAAAGGGTGAGAGGCAAGAAAGAGAGAGATGGTTTGATGGTCATGAGGGAAAGAATAAAATAAAGAGAGAAATTTTTGGGTGAAATTAAAGGGGGAAATTTGGGTGGGTGGTTCACTTTTTGGAGCTAAATAAATTTCATCAAATTCAAACCCCAAAATTTGTGTCATTTACAGTAATAACCGACACACATCCGCTAAAAAATTGTGTAGTGTTGCATTTTTTCTATGTTGGATTCAGGATAAGTATAATACATTGACTTTTTTTCATATTTCCGGGCTAATCCAGGCTAATCTGAGCTAATCTGAATGATCCATTAACCCTTGACCCACTAGCTCATCGGGGTCTGGGTCGACCCGCGGGTTGACAACTTTGTTTCCAATCGCTCCCCTATCGGCTATTAACCACACATCCCATGCTGATACTGACATGGCTAAACCTAGGGGTGAACAAACACACCCGCAAACCGACCCACCCGTCCAACCCGACTCAACCCACCCGTATTTATAGCTAAAACTAAGGTTTTGGGTTGGATGTGGGTTTTATTTTGTACAACCCGCCTCTTTTGGGTTGGATTTGGATTTTGGATTACACAACCCGTAGAATCCGACCCAACCCGTGTTCCAACTATTGATATGAGTTCGTATACAAAAAATATTTATGTCGTATATAGTCATACTTATGAGAAAATTAAGATATTTCGCCATGTTTTTCTCTCATATTCTCTCTAATCTAATGCATTCTTCGGCTTAAAGTTTAGACATAGATTTAATATAGCTATGATTCACGTAATCCTTTTTCTTGTTTACAATTTTAATAGAATAACATATTATGGATGCGTTCGTTTATAACATTTTTTGCCTATTTCAACAAATATCGTGAAAAAACTAGACATATGTTGAAGTAAATCCTATTTTATTAAAATTTAAATTTTAAACAACATATTTTGAATTTTGATACCTTTCACCTCGGTTTATTCGTTTAAAATTTTAATTAGTTATAAAATATTTTATGGTGTAGAATAATTACATATTTTGTGTTGGGTTGGGTTTTTACTTAAAAATATCGTCAACCCGACTCAACCCAACCCAACCCAACCTAATTAGAAACAAACCGTAAAATTTTATTTTTTTTGAGTGGGTTTGGATTTAATATTTTCCAAACCGTAATGCATGAATCGGATAATTAAAATGGCTAAACCCAAACCACCCGACCATTTACGGAAAAAATCCAAAAGTACCACTGTTTAAAAAAAAAATTCCAAAAATACCACCCAACCCCAAAAAATTCCAAAAATACCACCCTTTTTCAAAGACCGCCACCCCACCCAGCGGTTTGGTCGAAAACCGCTTGTCGGGGGCGCGGTTTTGGATCAAACCGCGGGCCTAGGGGGCGATTATAAAAAAAAAAAAAATTTGGACCAAAACCGCTGGGTGGGGTGGCGGTTTGGCCCAAAACCGCCACCCCAACCAGCGGTTTGGTCCAAAAGTTTGGTCGAAACTTCAAACGAACGTAACTTTGCACTCGGGTATCCGATCGTAGCGATTTTTTTTTTCATTTCGCATAACTTTTCAAGATCTACAACTTTTACAAGGATGAAATTTTCAAAAAAGGAACTATTTGTGGATATACGGGACCTTGAGAATAACTTTACCTTTACTTTTCAGAAATCCATGAACATTTTGAAATTATGATTATATTAAAAGTTGTAGATCTTGAAAAGTTATGCGGAATAAAAAAAAAATTCATGAAATTCGGATTTTGGAGCACAAAGTTATGGCCGCCCAAAGTTTGACGAAATAAAAAAAAAGGTCGTTCGGGGTGGCAAATGACGTTTTTTCGAGACGAAGACGGAACCCAACTGTTTGAAACTTGCAAGATCTCAAAAAGTTATTCGGATTCAAAAAATGGAGGCCGCAAACTGTTTGAGATCTTGCAAGCCGCAAACCGCCGGGTCTCGCCTTTCGTCAAACTTTGGCCGGCCATAACTTTGTGCTCCAAACTCCGAATGTTATGAATTTTTTTTTTTATTCCTCATAACTTTTCAATATCTACAACTTTTATTATAATCATAATTTCAAAATGTACATGGATTTCTGAAAAGTAAAGGTAAAGTTATTCTCAAGGTCCCGTATATCCACAAATAGTTCCTTTTTTGAAAATTTCATCCTTGTAAAAGTTGTAGATCTTGAAAAGTTATGCGAAATGAAAAAAAAAATCGCTACGATCGGATACCCGAGTGCAAAGTTACGTTCGTTTGAAGTTTCGACCAAACTTTTGGACCAAACCGCTGGTTGGGGTGGCGGTTTTGGGCCAAACCGCCACCCCACCCAGCGGTTTTGGTCCAAATTTTTTTTTTTTTTATAATCGCCCCCTAGGCCCGCGGTTTGATCCAAAACCGCGCCCCCGACAAGCGGTTTTCGACCAAACCGCTGGGTGGGGTGGCGGTTTTTGAAAAAGGGTGGTATTTTTGGAATTCTTTTTTTAAACAGTGGTACTTTTGGATTTTTCCCACCATTTACACGTCTAGCTAAACCATCATCATACTCAACCTTACTACCGCATAGGATAATTACCCCAACACAATTCTAACAATACACCTTTCTAGGGACACGAAGGTAAAACCACAATTTCCAATTCTCTCTCTTCCCCGGACCGGACCCGGAGCTTTTCTCCTGTCCTCACTGACCACAACAAAAGGCAACGATCTGCCTCCACCGCTCGATCCGACGGCAACGACGTCGTCCTACTCCCGCCCCGACACGTGGTGCTACTAGTAACCGGGCACAGCCAGTGACCCACTGGGCTGGTTAGTGGTTCGGCCGGTCAGGCGGTCAATCAAACAATCCCCCCGCTAGGTATATAAACCGGTCTCTTTTCTCTCGAGCGCCCTCTCTCTCTTCCTTCCGGTTCTGTAGTTATTTCTTTCCCACAAAAAAATCGGTATTAATACAGTGGAAAGGAAGAAGAAAAAAAAAAAAAAAAATAACGCTTCGCTTTATCCAGCTCGCCGTTTCAAGGTCAGTAGCTTGGCTTTGGCTTCCATCTTCTTCTTCTTCTTCTCCATTCCTCCTTTTGATTACATTTGGAAGTTTATCTGGCCTTCCAATGATTTCTTCCTTCCTTCTCCCCCAGTCAATTCATGCTGTCAGTGGAGCGGTTTTGGTCTTTTGATCGATCTCTCTGATAGCTAGGATGAATTTTTTTTTCTCCTAGTCCTTCCCCAGTCAATGAACGATGGGTCAGCTAATTTCCGTCGATCGTTTCAGTTATAGAGCTAGGTTACTGAATTAGGTTTGTCCTGGTCGATTAGAAGTTCTCCTGGGTGCGCCAGTGTTTTTTGTTTTTGGTGTGTGTGTTCTCTTTCTCTTCTTTGTTATTTTTCTATTCGTATGGTGGGTTTTGGATTGAGTTCGAGCAGTCTCTTGTTCTTCTATAATGTGTGTGATTGAGGGGACGGCGAGCTTGAATAGCCTAAACTGGAGAGACTTGTGCGATTTTGCTGCGGGTGTGCTGTGAATTGGGGTTCAAGGGGATTGTTTGTTAGTGTCTTTGTGGTTGAGTTTAGCTGTTTGCAAAGTTAGGGGTTTTGTGGGACTATGTAATCGATTAATTGGGGAAAGTTCAATTTCTCAAAAAGCTAATTTCTTCTTTGTTTTTTTTTTTTTTTTTTTTTGGCGTATGTATTCTTCTCGCTGGTGTTGCTATTGTTTAGTTGTCATTTGCTTAGATCTCTTCAATCAACAAATTGTTGAAAGCTCAAACAGATCACGAAAAATTGCTCCTCTTTTGGTCCATAGAAGAGCTTTATAGAAATTGGATTAAAAGAAAACCATTGATCAGTAGCCCAATCTTTGCAGTTGGATTCGGATTTTGACTCTCTTTTTGGGTAGTTACGATTCTGATTTTGTTGTGACAAATCTGGGGTTGTGCTTTTTTAGGGGTTTCGTGCGTGTTGTGATATCGAGCTGATTGAACATATTTCAGGCCCTGGCTCTGGAAAGCTACTTAGACTCCAGCCACCAGGGAGGAGTGCCTTCCATGGCACCCTCTCGTGTGGTTGGAGGGTTAGCCCAATCTTCCTCAAGTTCTGGAATTTTCTTTCAGGGGGATGGGCACTCCCAGGCTGTACATAACTCTCACTTAGCCTCATCATTTGGGAACTCATCCAGTTCGATTCCTGGGACTGGGCGTCCCAACCTGGGTCCAGTTTCTGGGGATATGAATAATGCTGTTTTAAACAGTGTCGCAAATTCTGGGCCAAGTGTTGGGGCAAGTTCATTGGTGACTGATGCGAATTCGGCATTCTCTGGAGGAGGCCCTCGTTTGCAGAGAAGTGCCAGCATTAACACAGAGTCGTACATGCGCTTGCCAGCTTCACCTATGTCATTTTCTTCCAATAACGTAAGCATCTCTGGCTCTTCAGTTGTCGATGGTTCTTCGGTGGTGCAGCAAGGAAATCACCAAGAATCTAGTGCACCACAGCACCAGCAAAGTCAGCAGCAGCAACAACATGGGGCTTCAAGTGCTACATCTTTACCCTCATCACAAAATGGGCACATGTCACTTCCCATGGATGGACGAGTTCCTGGATCTTATTTTCAGGACCCTAATTTATCACAGGTACAAAAGAAGCCCCGGTTAGATATCAAGCAGGAAGATATTCTGCAGCAGCAAGTGTTGCAGCAGATGTTGCAGAGGCAGGACCCCATTCAGATGCAGGCGCGTAACCCACAACTACAATCACTGCTTCAGCAGCAGAGACTGAGGCAGCAACAGCAGATTCTCCAATTTATGCCACCGATGCAGAGAGCCCAATTTCAGCAACAGCAGCAGCTGCAGTTGAGGCAGCAGCAAATGCAGCAACAACAACACCAACAACAGGCCATGCAGCCGACATCTGTTCCCGTTAAGCGTCCCTACGATGGGGGTGTATGTGCTCGACGGATGATGCAGTATCTGTATCATCAGCGACAGAGGCCAGCTGTAAGTATCTGTCTTGCTACATCCCAAATGCATAAGAGTATTCTGATCAATGGTTGTCTCACTCTAGCCTCCTTTATGTTCAAGGGTATACCTTTCAATCTAACCATATATCATTGAGAAAATTCCTTATCTAATTCCTATTGCTTTGCCAGGAGAATACTATTGCATATTGGAGAAAATTTGTAGCAGAGTACTATTCCCCTCGGGCAAAGAAAAGGTGGTGCTTGTCATTATATGATAATGTTGGGCATCATGCACTAGGGGTATTTCCCCAAGCAGCAATGGTTAGTTCTTTTTCCGTTGGAAAATCTATGCTTTCTAGTTTCTATAATGCTTATTTGGCATCTTTTTTATTCCTTCTTATTTGCTTGATCTAGATGAGCAGTGTTATAGTTGTGGGCTTCAATTTATCATTTATCCACCATTTTATTGCTAGGCGGTCTCACCTTCTTTCAGCTGAGTTTTTGTAACAACCTTGAAATTTACAAGGTGGGTTTGTTTCCTATTGGAACTTTCTTAACTTCTTTTTATGGTATATATATGTAGGAGGCATGGCAGTGTGACATCTGTGGTTCGAAGTCCGGAAGAGGATTTGGTAAGTGGATATGGCATTTTAATCTGGCTTGGATAGGCTCGTCGGAAATTATGGATGTAATTTTTGACCATGTTTAGGACAGAATTCTAGATGACGTCTATTGCAAACTTGAGTTTTCGCCACGATCAAGTCTCATGTCATACAGTAGCATTCATATGGTTTGTTTGGCGCATCATAATGATTTAAGCACTATCTGGGATTATTTTTCTTTTGTAGAGGCAACTTTTGAAGTGCTACCTCGACTTAATGAAATAAAGTTTGGTAGTGGCGTCATCGACGAGCTTTTGTTTTTGGACCTGCCTCGTGAATGTAGATTTTCTTCTGGAATAATGATGCTGGAGTATGGTAAAGCAGTCCAGGAGAGTGTATATGAGCAACTTCGTGTTGTTCGTGAGGGCCAGCTTCGTGTTATATTCACCCACGATTTGAAGGTCAACAACAGCAAAGCATAATTTTTTATGTGCTGAATTATCAGTTTTAAATTACAATTGCATTAATATGGTATTTCTTCCGTGAATTTTAGATATTGTCCTGGGAATTTTGTGCACGGCGCCATGAAGAACTGCTTCCTCGTAGGGTGGTAGCTCCTCAGGTATAATTGCTTCTTCAATCTGTGAATTGCAGCCCTGCTTTGAACATATGATGGACTACATGTTTTTCTTCTGCCCCTACCACTAGCCACAACCCGTGGGAACTGGAGTTCTGTTTACTCTTCTAAATATCTGTTGTGCTAAATGTTCATGGTTCATAGGTTGAACTGCTATTAACAGTTCGAAAAGCAAAAGGTTGAATGTTCAGGATAAAGTGCTGGAATCAATCTCACGTGTATCCTGTTCGATACATCCTGGAAAGTGATAGCTTTTGAAACTGGATGAGATTCCAGAAATTTGGTTGACACAAATATATGTTTGATTGAGTTATTTCTATGGTGGAATCAGTTGATCCTCACCATTAACCAAATCAGATGAGAAGTATGGAACAAAAGATGAAGTGAACGGACTGTTGACATGACCTATAAAAGAATTTGAAGGGGGATTGTATAATGTGATAATATGATAAAGTCTGGGAGAAAATTATGGCCGAGTACAATTCTTATTGGGTTGTTCCTTTCAGCTCTTATTGGCCTTATCTCGATATTGTTTTGAGGTGGCTCTCCCTGGTGTGTCCTGCTTGGGCTCTCTAAAGTTACTTGCTGTGTTTCTTCTCCAGTCTGGTTTCTGTTTATTTCTTATTTGAAAACAACTTACATCGAGGTCTTCTTCTTCAAACAGGTAAATCAGCTGGTACAGGTTGCACAGAAGTGTCAGAGCACAATTTCTGAAAGTGGAGCTGATGGTGTTTCACAGCAGGATCTCCAAGCAAGTAGCAATATGTAAGTTGACTTTGGCAATCACCCGACTCTTATTATATATTTGGGCCTTTGGCAGTCACCTCAAGCTTGTGCCTCCTTTTTGTTAAATTGTAATAGCAGAGATTAATACCAAGTGACCCAATCTTATTTATTAATTTTCACTAACTTGCATTCTCTTTCTGCTGCACAGGGTCCTGACAGCTGGGCGCCAGCTTGCTAAGAGTTTGGAGTTACAGTCTCTGAATGATTTGGGGTTCTCCAAAAGATATGTTAGATGTTTGCAGGTATATTTCATTGCTTATTAGAATACTGCCGTTTTGTTTTCTCATGTTCGCGACGCCAAGAATCTTACTTTTCTTGCGAATATGATATTATACCTGGTGGCAGATCTCCGAGGTTGTCAATAGCATGAAGGATTTGATTGATTTCTGTCGGGAACAAAAGGCTGGGCCAATTGGTAATTCTTCTTCTTTCTCCCTGTTGCGCTTGCCTTGTCCATTCTTTCTCTAGAAATTTGGGGGTAATTCATGAATCCATGAAGTCTTTCAAGATATGCACTCGCTCTGAATAATGTTAGAATTTTGATATGATTATATAGTGCTTTATTGTATTTGCCTGTGTTAACTGAAAATTGATTACTTGATGTCTGGAGGCATCCCTCTGGTAACTGCTAACAAACTTTCAATTTTACTTGCAGAGAGCCTAAAAGTTTACCCTCGGCATAATAACTCTGCAGCCAAGCTCCAGATGCAAAAGATGCAAGAAATGGAGCAGCTGGCAAGCTCTCAGGGTGTACCTACTGACCGGAACACCCTCAATAAGCTGATGGCTTTGCAGCCCTCTGCTGGAATAAATACTGCCATGAACGTCAACAACAACAATAATCACCACTTCGGTAATCGAGGAGCAGTAGGTTTAAGTGGTTCGGCCCAGGCTGCATTGGCCCTTTCCAACTACCAAAATCTTCTCACGAGGCAAAACTCCATGAATTCAAACTCCAGCTCGCTTCAACACGAACCTCCTTCATCTTCCTTCAACAATAATTCTGCCCCAAGTCCATCTTCCAACTTCCAAGGACCTGCTGGTTTCCCTCCCGGAGGACCCATGCAAAACTTACACCAACAACAACAGCAGCAACATCAGCGTTCATCGAGTTCCAATAATTTGTTTCAACAAAACCATCATCAACAAAGCTCTCAAGGCAGCAATCAGGCATTGGAACAGCAGATGATACAGCAACTGCTGCAGGAGATGTCAAATAACAGTAGCGGGGGAGGAGGAGCTCAGCTGCAGCGTTCTGTTTCTGCACAGAATGGGAATGGTGGTTCTGCAGGAAGGAACAGTGTGGGCCCTGCCATCTCTGGAGGTAGACCTGCAGCAAGTCGGAGCAACAGTTTCAAAGCTGCTGCTGCTTCACCCAGTGATTCGTCAGCTGGTGGTGGTGGCGGCAGTGGCAGTGGCAGTGGTTATAATAATAACAATCAAAAGGTTGGGGCCATGCCTAATCAGAATTTGCAGCAGCTGCAGGATGACATGCAAGATATCGCTGCTGAGTTTTCAGATAGTGGGTTTTTTAACAGTGACCTTGGCGATACTATGGGCTATGACTGGAAAGCATAATAAACAACTTCTGGTTTTGGCTCTTAGCTTAGTTGTTTGGTTTTATTGAATGAGTTTTTTGGCCATCTCGTTTGTACAGAATTATACTCTCCCCTCCCAGAACCGTTTATTGCGAATCGTAAGGGAACAAAACTTATTGTGCTTAAATAGGTAATAGCTGCCATTATTCCTCCGTTTTTCTGGTCATGCAATTTGTAATGTACTATGATGATAACTAGTAAGCTAATATGATATACATTTTCATTATCAATGGTAATCGATGATAACGAATGCCCCCATAGTAACCGAAGCCATAGCATGGAGATGGCTTCAAGTTGTTCATGACCGATGATCGGCAATTAGTCGCTCTTATGACAATCTTCACACTCAGGAGCTAGCCTGGTGGGAGGCATCCCCTTGATCCCTTGATTCTCTCCCCAAAAGTCTGACAACAAAACTGCGCAAAAGAGAAGCTGCAATTCTTCTCCCTCGTAGGGATGCACTGGCCGCTTCACTAGATTCTGTTTCGGGAGTGTACTCTAAGGAGCACTCTCCAGTGGAGTCAGTTAGCTCGACGTCAAATGGTTTCATGAGCTGCTGTCCAGCTGCTTGAACATGAGAGAGACTGCAACCACCGCTTGAAAAGTGCATGTGTCAGTGTAGTGAAGCCAATAGAATGAAGTTCTTCACAGGTTTATAGCCTGTGGAGAAACTGGAGTAGCCGTGCTGGGAAAAAGAGAAAAGAGAGCGTATAAAGGGGAACGAGAGAGCACCAGATGTAATGTAAACCATCTATCTCTTGTCTCTGAGCTCTGCCAAGTAGCTCAACTTGCAGAATCCCTCCTATGCAAAGTACCGGTTCTGGCAGCTTGAATTTTTGCAGTTGGCTTTCCTGCAGATGGGGCCAATAGATTGAGTATGCAAATTGGAAAAGAAAATGCTAAAGAACTAATTAGCAAAATATCAAAAGCTAAGTATTCGTTGCATAACTATTCCGAACATTTCTATGACCTTTTCCTTTCCAGTTTCTTCTCCGACAGGACTACTCTAGTCTCTAGATATGGATCAGAAGCTTACTCAACATAACAAGCAACTGGGGAGCTTTTAGTGCAAGGAATAAGGTAGCATAATATCAGGAAGAGATCGATTATTGACATAAACCTTTAACCGTAGCAGCTCAATAAATCAAAATTTGGAAATTAGGAGGAACTTCGGAAAAACCAATTATAGCTTAGAATTAACTACCTGAGCCATGGGAAATTCAGGGGAGGTGTAAGACCAGACAAAATGGTCATCTCTTGGTCTATGGCCATATGTAACAATCGCTATATCATCCTCCAACTCCATTGGGAACTTTGAATGACCGAGTCTAAACCGAACGCTTTTTGATGAGTATATAGGGAACCCATACTGGAAGTACGCTGATACACCGAACAATGAAGTCGTTATGCTTGTCGTTCCCATAATCCCATTCTCAGAACATGATAGAGTGAAGGCAAAATAAGCAATTACCTTGAAAAGGCTGAACATGGATTTCAGTGACTAGACATAACTTGGATGCCAACTTGTAAACTAATCTCTCAGGAACGTCTGGATTGGCTTGCCCTTTACTAGACCAGTAGGATGCTCGATCCTCAACTCTATCGCCTGCCTCCAAGGTATTCTGAATCGTCTCTTCTGGGTAATTATCTGTGCTGGATGCACAGATGGCCTCCGAGATGCAGTCTTTCGTCACAACTGGAGAAAGGCCACGTGCCAGAAACGCGTAGACTCTATGGTTCCTCTTGAGCCACTCCCAGCTCCTTCTACAGTCACTAATCCGACCTACCGGTTCAATCAGATTATCCACTTCAATGAGATCAACGTTACTACACATTCCAGGAAACTTCCTCAAGCAGAGCTGTTTGCAGATGCCATGTTCAATCACTGCCAAACACAACCATAATACTCGTACTTCTCAAACTATTCAATTTCACGAAATCGAACAGATGCGTAAGCAAATGAAAAAGAGTTAAAGCATACCAAACCGGCGCCAAGAACTTGAAACGGCACAAAGACGAACGAGATCAGAAGGGTCATCCAAATGCATCAGAACCTGAATAAACATGTCAACTCCAAGCCATTGCATCAGGTCACCGCACTTTTCCCTTGTCTGGGCCATTGTATAAACACGGATCAAACAAACCGACTGCAGGCAAAGCCTAGCAATTGAAGAACCCCACCTGAATTTATCAACAAAACCGAATCCGATTACCTAAACCAGAAACCCACCAATAATCAACAGCCTAAACACTAGAAAACCTGCCGCAATTTCTCAAGCAAACCCGAAAGTTCATATCTTTATACAACGAAAGAACATCAATCAAATCCAGCAGATTAAATTCAAGCACATCAGCAACAACAACCCAAAAATCGTAATCGACAAAATCCAAACAGTGAAACTTCAATTCTCGAGCGTACCTTTCTCTGGGATTCGACGGCGGCGAGCGGTAGCGCGAAAAAGCTCCAACCTTTACGATCTAATAATCCCTCTCAGGATGAGGGGCGCATAATGGGGACACGAAATCGGAGAAGAGGGCAAAAGCTGAGCTGTGAATTTCGAGAGGGATCGAAACAGAGACAAAAAAAAACGTCGACGCCACCACCGAATGGGACGGCTCAGCAGCCGGCGAGAGTGGATTTCTTGAACTGAGCTATAATGATAATGGAGCTAATAAAGGATAACAATGGATCAGATTTGACGTTTATTTAAAAAAAGATCACTGTACCTAATCAAAATATTAATTTAAAAAATAAACTGGTGTTAACTAATCTACGGCTGTCGAGTGGGAATTGGTCCGGTGGTGGATAGAAAATTGCACGCATCCACCGATTTCAACGGGCGGGTTTTGTCGCTTTCTTCTCGTCGGGTCTATCCATGCCACTGCCATCGCCATTGCCATCGCCACGCACCGTTATGTTATCGTTTGGTGGATCATACAAACATCGGCAGAAACTATGGTGTTTGTTCTTTTTTATGAATAGTAATTATGGCGATTGTTATAATTGTGCAAACTGCAATGTCTGCTTGTCTTTTACCCTTTTCAGTTTAGAACCCAAAGAGGCAAAAGAACGACACTTATTTGCAAGTTATACGTTGATGTCATGCACCAGTGGTCAGTAGGTCTGATGGCTAATTAGATCAGGGTGATGAAACTCAAAGAATCTCTACTGACAATTATTCAATGAAGAAAGTACTTTTTGTTTTTGTTTTCGGTAGAAAACGATGAGATAGGGGTCGTTTTTGAAACATGGAATAACGAGGTGTTGTTATTTTAATGTGATTGAATTACAATCAGTATGTTGAAAAGAATCGTTTTGGGCATTAAGTAAGTGTCCTCGTGGTGGTAGTAAGTATCAACGGGTGTCAACTAGTTAAAAATTTAATTTATCTCATGAAAAAAAAAACGAGAAATTTGTCGAGTTTAGCAAGCCTAGTGCAAGTAGAATAATTTTTTCGAAGTTTATTGATGAAACTGTAAGAACGGTAGAGAATTGGGGGAAATCGAGAGAAGAATTTCGAATTAGGGTTTGAAAATTGAGAAGAATCGGGAAAGAACAAGAGAGGAGCCGAGAGAAGGAAGATTGAAAAGATGAGAGATTTTCATTCTATTTTTTCACAATACCATAAAAGAAAAAAATAAGTCTCACACTTTAAATAGGATTGTCCACAAATAACAAACTAACAATTAATAATGAAATACCCAAATACACAAATAGGGTTGAGTCCTTACCCAACTCGTCCGTCGGGTTCCTAACATTCCCCTCCTCTGAAAGACCGACCTTGTCCTCAAGGTAGAAAGCAAGATGTGTCTGTTGAATGGTCTTTGTGTTAGAGTAAGGTCGTGAAACCTCCCACGTGTTATATTCTGGTCCCATGTGTTCCCAATAGATACGACTCTCCTCCGTCCTCTGATTCTCATTGAGAATACATATCGTCTACAAGACCTCCATCGGCTCGAGCTCAAGTTCACCATCCTCATTGACGGGCGACATTGGAGTATGATCTTGGATAGTGGCTCCTCTATACCTGCGTAATTAGGACACATGGAATGTCGGATGCATGCGTGACGACGCTGACAGCTACAAGCGATACGCCACCACCCCAACTTGGGCATCCACTTGGTAAGGGCCAAAGTAGCGAGTTGCTAACTTCTGGTGTGTACACTTGAACATCGAAGTCTTCCTGTATGGGTGGAGATCAAAGCATTTAAAATCGAGATTTTACCTAAAATCGAAAACTGGGGTAAAATCGGAATCGTAAAATCGAATCGGAGAATCGTAGGATTTTAAGTACCATATAGAAATTAAAATATGATAATATTAATAAGGTAAATAATTAATAACACAAAGACTTATAACATTTTTTTTCCCGGTGATTAGTTAGTTCCATTAAGCACTAGCATTACTGCAAAAAGCAGTAAGCTTCGAAAAATACAAAGGCAAGAAGCCCCAAAACATCCTTACAGCTTAACACTCAACAAAGGATAAACCTGAAAATACAAAAGCTAGCTAACACAGCTCACAAAAAGTTGGGACCCTACTAATCTCTTGCTGAAAATCACCATTTCCACAACTATACAGACTTATCTCCCTACGCAACATATCACCAAGAGCCTCCGGGAAATGAGATTGTTCCCCAAAACAACGACGGCATCTCTCTTTCCATATAAAACACAAACACCAACACCACACAGAGCACTCAACAAGTTCTGCTTGAACTCCCTGCACAGCTTTATCAGTCATGAAAACCAACATATCATCCCACGTCCGAGGAAGGGGCACTGCTCTTCTGAAAAGTGCAGCAAGAAAAGTCGAGGTAAAAGAGCATTCACAGAACAAATGCTGGCGGGACTCAACAGCAGCGTGGCACAGAGGGCAAGAGTCATCAGTAAGCATTCCCCAACTCTTCAGCTTATCACGAGTAGCAATTCTGTTTAATATGATCAACCAGACAATGAATCGATTACGTGGTATAATAAATCGTCCCCAGATCACTCTCCACCAAGACACCTCAGGGCCCTTAGGTCTGATAGCATTCCAGATCAGTGAAATGGAATAAACATTCAATTTCCTACCCAACCAAGATACACTGCCATCAGGTTCAAGACACATCCTGAACTGCAGCCAGGATCTAAGTTTCAGCAGCTGTTTCCAGATCCAAGATCCATAAGAGGTGAGTCTGACCTCCCAAATGCATTAGCCTCTCATCCTATATCTGGTACACCAAGCAACCCAGAAACTTCCTCCCTGAATCATCAATAGCCAGATTAGCCTAGCTAAACAAGCAATGTTCCATGTACTAAGGTCTTTCAGACCAAGCCCTCCCTCATTCTTTGGCAAGGCAATCGATTCCCAGGCAACCTTGGCTTTGCCAACACCTTCTCCATGCCATAGAAAATTAGAACAAATCCTCTGAATACTCTTAAGCACCTTCCTTGGGAGAACAAAAATTGCCATCCAGTAATGAACAACTGCATATAGAACAGATTCTACTAGCTGGATCTTGCCTGCATAAGATAACTTCTGAGCTCTCCACCCTCTGATCCTCTGAGTTAGTTTGTCTACAAGGACAGCACATTCAACACTAGACAGTTTGCCTGAAATCAAAGGTAAGCCTAAGTATCTAACTGGCAACTTGCCCTCTCTGAAGCCAGAAACTTGTAAAGCAGTGGTTTTAAACTGGTGAGCAAAACCACCAAAAAACACTTCACATTTGTATGGATTGCATTGTAATCCTGAAAGTTGATACTGCCACGACCCTCCTTCAAACACCCACCGACAGGTCGCCTCCGATGGAAATTGAAAGAGGACGAGCTTATCCTCAAGAAGCGAGACCTTAACCTCTCCATCGCGACTCCAAATCCAGTTAGCCCAGAATCGCAGAGCCGAGAGTGAAGGCGGAGCAGCTAGGAACTGACCTACCAGGCTATGTTCCCATTTCTTCGTTCCCTCCTCAATCACCGATTTGGGAATCCGAAGCGATCCGTTGATAAACTCAGGCTCGTAGAAATCCAACCTAACCTCCTCCGATACAGGAAACAAAGAAGCCCAGGACCTGCCGCCACCAACGGCGCCAGGCGCGGCTCCGTCGGCGACGGCGGCCATCGCAGTGAATGAAGAAGGTTTCAGAGAATTTCGAAAAGGAGAGAGAAAGAGAGAGAGAAGTTAGGTGACTTATAACATTTAAAGTGATAATTTTCAAGATTAATGTTCCAAAATCATCATTTTAATTGTTATTTAATGTGTAACTCAAAATAATTTATGAGGAAGGGATAGAGCTCATGGGGTTTGGCTCTTGTTTTTCATGTTGTGTCTAGGTAGTTTAACTCAAAGTAGTATTCCGACATCGTCTACTAAGCATGATTTAAAACTAAGAATAACTGAAATCCAATAAAATAATTAATGTCATTGGTTTGGTATAAATATATTCATTAATAAAATAATTTGTTAATAATATGATGTTAATTCTTACGCACTAACAATATTCTGACAATTGTTTTACCGATGAGTTAAACAAGGAGAATGGAAAGGGGTTGACCGAACCCTAATTAGTTTTTTTTCTTCATCTTTTCAAATGTTCTTTTAATAGGAAAAACATATGAGAAGATCCCCGTCATTGCCCTTTCCACCGAAACAATTCTGCTTCTTTTGAATTGGCTCAAGCTCCCTATTTTGTTTACATAGGATCAAAATCCCGATTTTGGTACGATTTTAATCCTGATTTTGAACGATTTTAAGGTCCATCGATTTTATAGTAAAATAAAAAATCCTAAAATCCTACGATTTTACAATCAAAATCCCGATTTTGACTGCACTAGAGACCTAATAGAACCCAATCCCAGTCCCCGACCTCAAACTCCTCCTCCCAATGACCCAAATCCGGCCGGCTTCATTCGATTGTTGGTTGCTGCCAAGTTTGCCTTAACTGGTCTAATGTCACATCCCTCTCAGCAAGCCACTTGTCCACTACATCATCCGCACGGGTACTGCACTGATATCGAATCAACGATGGGGGTGTCCGCCCATAGAGTGCCTCAAAGGGAGTCATCTGTATCGCTCGATGATAAGTGGTGTTATACCACAGCTCCACTCAGGGCAACATCGCCAACCAACTGTGAGATTGCTGATTTGCAAAACACTACAGGTAGTGCTTCAGATACTTATTAACCTCCTCAGTATGTTCGTCGCTTTGCGGGTGATATGTTGAACTCATCCGCAATTCAGTGCTGGCCAACACAAAGACCTTCTGGCAAAACTGCCCCAGGATCAAGGCATCCCTGTCGCCGATGATCGACCGCAGAAACCCATGATGCCGCAACACCCCTGAAACAAACTGTTCTGCCACAGTCTTGGTCGTGTACTGGTAAACTAATGCCATGCAATGAGCATATTAGGTGAGTCGATCCAAATTGTCATCACTAGGACCATATGATGCCATATAACTAACTCTTAATCTTCTGCAGGGTACGCTCGTGGCTTGAATACCCTCCTATCAGCGAATCATGGAACTCCGTGATCACCGCGGTCGTCAAGGTTGTTTCTGCTGGTAATACAACACACCCACACAAAAAAAGAAAAAAAACAACCCATGACAAAACTCAAGCTCACCTGGTATATATTGTGTTGAGGGCTATGTCCTTGCACTTTTGCAAATATGGGTTGGA